AGGTAAACTTTCAATTTACACAATACATAATCAGTTCCTACAACCATAATAAAAAGGCAGTTTTTCTGGCGAAACTCTCGCCAGGTTAGCAATAGTTTCTCACGATCACCAAACCCGAGACACAAACGATAATACAAAGTGTATAAATACCATAACAAGCACAGTTTCTTACCTTTGAAATTGACGAGACACAATTTTGTCCATAGAAGCATTGCGCAAATAAAGATACAATTCCGGGATACAATATCCTCACAAAATTGACTGATTTCCATCGAGATGAGAACTGCGTAAGCGTCATCAAAACTCGGATTAAACTCGGGTAATTTCGGGAAAAGTCGAATTTTGAAGGAAAAATGTTAAAAATCAAGGAAAAAGAATCGAAAAAATAACTTGATGTGCACCATAGCACCATCAATTTCTGTCTCTGTACCAACTCTGAACTGAATTGGATCACACATGTGTGAGAAAAAGCTGGTAACATGAAAATGTGAACACACATTGCACATTCGCTACAGTAAACAATAAGCAAACCCTTCACTCTAGGTCGCAACCACAAAATTGTAACATTAGTGACTGGCGACATAAATGCTACTACTGATGCGTAGAAATAGTAAAGATAATATATATTTGAGACGATGTTTCGTGAAAAATACGGTTAGAAAGCTACACATCAAAAGACCAAGTTGAGTTCATCAGGGTTCATTGCCTGCTACATGAATTCACGTCTGTGATTGGATAATCACTTGACGCGTTGGCGAGATCCCATGCCCAGTTGATAAGTTTTTTTTTTTTTAGCATATAGTTTTTTTTTAACGATTGTTTTCTGCATATGGCCCGCAATCGATCTTTTTTTGATGAGATAGTTGTTGGGTGTTTACCAACTACATACTTCAAGTTTCAGAAACAGATCATATAGGACTATGTGCATTCGTCATGACACACAAGTCATTGAAAATGACACAGTCCCCGTTAAGTTCTCTTTGTGCTCGTCATATTAAAGCGGAGGGGTTGTCGCGAGCGTGTCCTTGAAACTTGAGTTCCAAGTGGCGTATACAACAGATTGTTTATTTACATCAAAACATGTGTTTCGTGTCATAGTAATATGGCCAAAATAAAAACAGCCGTTATTCAGCCATCTTTGATCTGATTATGAAACACACTGATATGTATGATGTATGTGCCAAATACGAAAGAAAATGGTA